TCATGCCTCCGTCTGCCTGTCTCTCGGCGAGGAAGCTTCCCGGAGGTGTGGCCGAAAGTTCCCTGTGGAAGCTGCCAATCAGAAGTCCCGGGGGTGCCTGCTTCCAAGGGAATGGCTCAGCTATTTCAAAGTGAGCGGCCGGGAAGCTGAGAGACAGGCAGACGGATGCTGTACGCACTCTTGCCTCACTCGTCAATTGAAAACAGCGCTAAGCTGCAGAGAGCGGCAAACTCCAGAGTTGAAAGAGGCTGAGGAGAGGAAGGGCCAGGATCAGAGTCAGCCAGGGGGAAAGGGACGTATGTGGTGCCACTCCCCCTATAAACGCAGTGTCCATCTGCCGCTCTCTCGGTGAGGAAGTAGCCAAGCCGGTCCCTTTGAAGCAGGCGCCCCCGGGGCTCGTGATTAGCGGCCTCCACATGGAGCTTTCGGCCGCCTTTCCCCAGAGCCCCAAGGCATAGCAGCTGCCTGCTCCTCCCTCTCTGCCTGCCGCCTGCCCTCAGCCCCGCAGCGAAGTTTCGGAAGCATCAGGGAAAGTTTGTGCACTGTGTTTGGGGCAGGATAGCAAGCCACTGCTGTCGCCAGCATCATGGCAAGCAGGCCAGCTGGGTCAGAGATCAGCTTTCTACTCCTCTGGCAGCTCGCTTCTTCCCTGGAGAAGGGACGGCGGCGTACAGCAGAAGTGCTCTCGGCCCCAACAGGGAAGCTCCGAACATACGGCTTGCTTGGATTCCTCCCTGCTGGGAGCCGCAACCTGCAGGGGGGAAGGGCAAGAGCGACCGGCCAGGTCAGGTGCACAGGGCTGCATTTGCTGGCTGGGTGGCTGGCTGCCCCGTCCGCTGCTCCTTCTCCAGCGCTGGCTGGTGGCACAGCAGGAGGTGTGATGGGGGTTGGGTGACGGGCCCAACCACAGGCAGTGCAGTGGTGGGTGTTGGGTGGGGGTGCCCCGCCGAGCCAGGGAACAGCGGCTTTCAGGGGGAAGGAGCCCAGGGAAGCCATGCATTCAGAGCTCACTAGCTACTGGTCCACAAAGCCCCGCCAGCCGCACCTGCTCAGCCTGCAGCTCCCAGTAGGGACAACCCCAGGCAAGCCGGCATTCAAAGCTTTCCCAGCGGGGCCGAGAGAGCGGCCATCAGCCAGGGAATGGTGGCTCCCAGTGGAAAGGAGCCCAGGCAAGCCACATGTTCAGAGCTTCCCCAGCAGCGCTCTTGGCTCCGCTATGCGCTGGCTGTGGAACGGCTGACTTGCCACTGAACGGGCCGGTACCTAGTTGTCCTCTGGTAAGAGGAATGCCGGCCCTCTTGGAAAAAGTGGGGGGGCAATGTTCGGGGACATGCATGCGCAGTGCGGGGCTCATGCGCAGGGGAGCATGGGACTGTTTCCTGCATGCATGCACAAATGGGGGCGCACACTGCAGTATGGGTGCCAGCATGCAGGAGCACAACAGCGCTCCTGGGCTCAGACTTTTGGCACGCAATGCCAAAAAAGTTCGCCATCACTGTCCTAATGTATCACCGTAGTATATGTGTGGATCCAAGCAATGTGGCCTTTTGAAATTGGCAAATAGAAATTTTGTCAATACTCAAATTTTCTAAATGCCATCCAATATTTTTTGGTATTGCACTCAGTATGGCAATAGCTGCTGGGAACACTATGGCTGGTTTATTCCATAATCTTTCAATTTTGTGTCAAGTTTGAACCACTTTGCTTCTTTCAAAACCTTCATGCTTTTCAACTTGCCTATGAACTGGGGGGAGGGAAGGGGGAAATAGAATGCAGAGATCATGAGAGCATGGAAACCATCAAGGTGCTTGAGAAAGAGAGGAACTGTTCACATAACAAAAGGTCATATCATAATTGGACAATATGATCCCCCAGGGGTGGGGAGAAGGGAAAGCTATTGTTTAACTAGGCAAGCATTTGCGCGGGAAAACCAGAGCTGGGTTTGTTTCTTCAGTACCAAAATGGTGTATCCAATAAAGTTTTACTTTTGGGAATTCAAATCTCCTGAGAGTGTTTCCTTGTTTTGGGTTCGCTAGTTGGACAATTGACACTTTGACTTTCAGATCTAGATATTCTCCAATTCTGTGATCTATTCTACTATCTCCTGGCATTGCCACATCAACTTTCTTCTTCTCAACCACAGTTAAATATTGTGCATTATGGGCCAAAAAAAACCTTTTCCAACATACACCAGTTTTATTATATGTTATCCTTGTTTTTCAATAATTCAACTATAGCAGATGTCGGCAACCCATGACTGTGAAGCCGCATGCAGCTCTTTGGGCCCCTTGCTGTGGCTCCCTGCCGAACCAGATCCCACCACTGGCTGGCCCCGCCCCTCGCCCTCCCCTCCCAGCACCACTACTCAGCACTAACAAGGACTGGAAGAGGCAAGCACAGGGCCTCTTTGCTCCTGCTCTGGAATATAGAGCAAGTCTCAATCCGCTGCCGTTGCCCTTACCTTCTCGGGCGAGGAGTGACTGGGAGTGGGAGGGGAGGGGCCAGCCAGTCGTGGGTTCAGCCAGCAGGAACTACAGCAGGGGGACTAAAGAGCTTCATTTATCTGGAAACCTGAAATGACTCTTGATTTAAATCATATGGTAAAAAGCACCCAATGAAGAAGAAAGAACAATATCAGCACAAAAAAAACAAAAAACAAAAAACCAAACCTTGCCTGTTTTTGGAAATGGTTCAAGAGGGAACACACACACCCGAGAGAGAGAGAGAGAGAGAGAGAGAGAGAGAGAGAGAGAGAGAGAAAGATGAGAAAGAGAGAGACAGGGAGAAAGAGAGATGAGAGAGAGATGCGAGGGAGAGGGGAAGAGGGGGGAGAGAGAGACAGATGAGAGAGATGAGAGAGAAAGAGAGGGAGATGAGAGAGATGAAAGGGAGAGAGACAGAGAGATGAGAGAGAGAAAGAGATAAGGAGAGACAGAGATGAGACAGAGAGAGACAGAGAAAGAGAGACCCGTTTCCCACAGAAAATACTGGGAGCCACAAAACCTGGGTAGCAGTAGCTGGGGGAGTGTCATGTGATTGGGTGTGAGTGAGTGGCATCGAGTTGGCCACACCCACCCACGTTTTGTGGCTCCTGGTGTTTTCTTTTCTGTGGGAAACGGGTCCAAATGGCTTTGAGTGTTTAAGGTTGCAGACCCCTGAACTATAGAAACGAATCATATTTAATTACTGTTTTATTTTCTATCCTTGGCCTGCAAATCAGTGGTTGAATCCATTTTACTATAAATTGTTTCAATTTATCCCTAGATTTTCATTTAATTTCTGCTTTAATTGACATTAGGGAAATGTGATATGGAATATGTAATTGTAACTCATTATTTTCAGGAACGTTCACTGATTTTCTAGGGATAGAAATCCCTATTTATATTTGATTTTCTAGGGACAGAAATTTGTATGATATGAAATGCAGGTAAATTCAAAATGAATTATATTCAAAGCAGCTTTTGACCATATTGTAGATTTTGTACACTGTATATTTCAAAATGGTTTTGAAGCTCATTTTGCATTTGGCGTCTTCACTCTTAATCTCAAATATTAGTCCATGAACTAAATTTCAGCTGAAGTGAATTTGGTTCCTTTCTCTATTGACAGTATTCTGCACTCAAATAGCTTACGAGACATAGATATAATGACATTTTAGCATTCTCTACCAACCTAGTACTTATCTATCATTATTCAATTCTTTCAAGTGAATTGATTGCTTTTTCTAAAAAAAATTCATAATGGGCATTTATGACAGTTATGTATAGTTCTGAATTGAGACACACATGCAAATGGAAATGATGCAGTAATGATTCATCAACATAAATGTTCTAAATAACTTTGCTTATATCAATTTTACCAACCCATCCCCTAAATAAATAGATTGCAACATGAATTATTGAACACTTGTTCTAATCCCCTATGTTTAATTCAAGAAAAGAACTGGTAATTACCTTGAAGTTTTTTACGGGGAGGGAGTAATAACCGATTGTTTTATACCTATCATTGAACAAATGTTACTTCTATACAATTTCTCAGTCCCTTTGTATCAGTGTGTGATACTGCAAATGTTTTCAGTTTTGCTTCCTTAAGCTGCCCAGCACTTCCACCAGCTGGCCAAGAGGAGCACTAAAATGTCACTAGCCAGCACCGTTTCCTTATTCTTCCTTTAATTATTTAAAAACAAACAATTGTGGGAATATGGCAAAGGTGGTATCAAGCCACAGAAAACAACATGGGGAAAACAAAACACAGCAGCCTTTGTTGGGGGGGCGGGGGGGGGGGAAGCCTAGGGGCTGATTTGTTGTATTACTGCCTCCCAAGGTGGAATTACCATTCCACAACCACAATGGAAGGCATAGCAAATAGTCAATCAAGGGAGTTTGCTAGAAGCCTCACAGCATTGTGCCACACATAACCCCCCAAAATTTAGATTGCTGTCTCTCTTGCAATCTACTGAACAGTATTATAACATACTGTATTGACATGAACATTCATGTATCTTTCACATATTTTCGTCCCTTAACCAAAGCAGCTCAATCCTTTTCTTAATAAGCTATTACATTTGAATCTCTACTGTTTTTTAACTAAAGGTCCCTTTTTTTACAGTATTGGTGGTAATATGAAGCTTTCTTTGCACCGGTGTATCCGTCTGTTTTTTCACCTGATCTCCCGAACCTGCTCCGCATAGCAAAGCAAAGCAAAACAAATGGGATAGGTCTTTTTTTTCCTGGGTCCAGACGCTGTCAGCTTGCCCGATCCACGCTGAGCCAGAAATGATGGGGAAACCTTTCCAAGAAAACAGTGATGAAAGGTTCAACTAAAGAGACCTTATACCGAGGAGGAAGGGAGGAAGGGAGAGTCGAGGGCCTGAGAGACATGAGTGGGCGAGTAGATGGGCCGGATCCAGGCACTAGCCTGGGGCGACTGAAGGGACGGGAGCCAAGATGTTTTAAGGGAAGGGAGAGCCAGCTGGTCTACAAAAGGGAGCAGCACTCCTTCGGAAGAACTCTTGCTCTCTCCTCTCCTCTCTTCTCCTCCAGTCGACTCCCTCTCGGGAATCGTGTGCAAGAGGCGCTCCGTGCTCCTCCCGCCGAGGGAAGCGGGAGTTCCAGGAAGTAGTAGATAGGCGGGCAGGACAGCTTCAGCGCCGAGAGCCCTGTGGCGGTCGATCTCCTCCATCTCGGAGCGAAGCTCCTTCCTTGAGGCGGGGCGGTCTCCCGCCTCAGCCCCCTTTTTGGGAGGAAGGAAGGAAATAGGGAGGGGCGGAAAGAACAGAAGCAAAGAGGAGCCTCCTCTATACTGGGTGGAGAGAGCGAGCGCGACGGCGGCTCCTCGCGGGAACAAAGAGGCGCGAAAACGCGAAGGCTGAGGGGAAAGGGGCTATTCTTCTTCTCGCTCCAGCGGCCGCGGAGATGGTGAGTTCTGGGAAAGGGAAGTGGAGGGCATGTTGATCGCGAATAGCCTCTCCCGGCTCTTATCACCTGGAAGCGGTGCTTCGCGCCGGGCCGCAGTAAGGCTCTGCGGTGGCCGTGGGGACACTCCCCTGGGATAGTTCTTTCTACAGCGGCTAGGTCGGTATTAGCCACTCCAACCTTGGATCGTCCACCTTTGGTAACGAGACACAGCCACTAAACCGCATTAGCCCTCCAGCGGTCTCCTGGCAAGGCGTGTATTTCCTGAGAAAAGGCAAGGTTTTATCTCGCCTCTTGCTTATGGAGATAGATTTGGTCTCTGTCGTATGCTGAGCAGCACATCACTATAACGCAAGCTAGGCACGTACGGGAAGCCATAATGTTTAATTTACACTGTCCAGGTTTTCAGAAGCACGGCTTTTTATACTGTTACATTTGGTTCCATTATTGCTGTTGTTGTTTTGTTTTCACCCAAAATCAAATACTAACATCTTTCCTATATGCATTGGAAGCAGTTCAAGGATTGTCCTTGGCCTTGGAGTGAACTCTTAGTGAAGTATCTATTTAATGTTTCTCATCAAATCTTAAGGCATCATCATCTTGCTCTGTTAGCTGCTGTCCTGTGCTAGGAACCTTCTGTCATTGGCTCATGTGTGTGTATGTATGTATGTATATATGTGTGTGTGTGTGTATGTATGTATATATGTGTGTGTATGTGTGTGTATATATATATATATATATATATTAGAATGAACAAGTCGAAATAATTTAAGTAACATTTATCTTATCTATCTATACAATGGATGTATTTAAAGTAGCCTTGCCAATGAGAATAATTTAATTTTTATCAGACTGCTGAAAAGGTAATCATTTGCTGAGTGTAGATTTCTGTTAAATACTGCGTTGGAATTCTCACCAGAACCCATGTTGATACCTTATTGGAGTACCATATATAATGTCTCCAATAGCATAACTATCTTTTTCTCTTGGGTGAAAGTTTGATTAGCTTCCCTAATTTTTCAATGTGAATTTTAAGAGGTAGTTGTTAACTATGTATGTTGCTTCTAATAATAGAATGTCTTTTTGTTCTAATACCAAATTTTGATGATCAAGCTGTTTCTTTTTCATAATTGCTTTCCTATTTACATTGAATTTTCAGATATTATATACAGATTTTAAAATATCTGCTTATTACATTACTTTTTGTTATAGAAAGGAAACTGACTTAAATTCCATATTTGAAAATATGAATAGAAATGAAGATTGCTAGCAGCAGTAATTAATGTGGACTGTGTAAACTTTTTGAAAGTTAATGATTTTGAATGAGTTTGAAAGTTAATGATTCTGTGATCTTGGCCATTATACTGACTTCCTCTGTTGAAAGGCATAACAATACCTTCTAATGATGCTATTTCAGTTAAGGAGGCACTAATAAGATTTGTCCTTTTACATCCCAAGATTTTGTCATTATAGAAGCTGTAGAGAGAGTTGATATATAAAAACTATTATGAAAATGTATTCCAAAAATATATCATGTCTCCAGATAAATATTGAAGCAATGAAGCCTGGATTTTAGAAAAGAATACTTAAAAGAATTTTTTTTTGTAAAAACTTTTGTTTTTAAAGTTATTGATTTGTTAGGCTGTCTCAAAAGAAACACATTTTTTGCTGTGTTGGAATGCCGTTCTCCATTTTCTTTTGTATTGATGTTTTTTTTTTCCTTTCTCAATTTTCAGAAAGAAGAGTGAAAAGGCATGGATATAACATGAATTGCTTAACGCGTTCAGAAAAAATAGGAATTATTTCTCAGTTAACTAAATAAAATGGATGAGTCGGTCTTATTGGATCTGTTGGAGTGCCCTGTCTGTTTAGAACGTCTGGATGCTTCTGCAAAAGTTTTGCCTTGTCAACATACATTTTGTAAAAGATGTCTCTTGGGCATTGTGAGCTCACGCAATGAGCTTCGTTGTCCTGAATGTAGGACATTAGTAGACTGCAATGTTGATGACCTTCCTAATAATATTTTGCTTGTTCGACTACTAGATGGCATCAAACAAAGGCCTCAGAAATTGACTAATTTAATGACGTGCTCAAATTTATTAAGGGCCCAAACTAGCACTGTTATTAATTGCATTCAAAAAGACTTACATAGTTCTCAAAGTGTCCAGCAACAGAGAGTACAAGCACGAAGTCCACCTGTTAGGGTAAGTGACCAGTATGCTAAAAATATATATGTTGGGGATGTTTGACAATCCAAGGAAAGTAGAATTATGATGTGATTCATTTAGAGGGCTCATCTAGAAAATTCAACATTTTAACTTAATGAAAAGAAAATTAAACATAATTTTAAATATATGGGGATCACGTGGAGCATTGACTGCACTAGTTCTTCGTTGCTTGTGAAAGCAATGGCAGAATCTAAAAATAAAAATGGAAGGAAACACAATTTGGTTAAACTTTAGAAAATATTTATAATGGAATTAGTTATTTATTGATGGAATTGATTTTCTTGACTACATTGTTGAAAGGAGTAGGGAAAAAATGGATGACTATCTCCTAGCAATGTTGTAATTTCATCTTGCATTGTAGATCTTGCACTCAATGCTACAGCGACTGTTGGAAGCTGTAATCCAAAATACTTATAGGTAGTAGCATCTGCAGCAATATGATACCAAAATGACAATTCATGCACAATATCATCATGCAAATACTGCCATTAGGTACTTGCAGTCCAAAGTCAGACACAAATATTTAAGTTATGACATTTGCATGATGTTTATTCTTTGTCATTTGCCTCTATAGAATAAGCAATTGCCTGTATTAGATTAATATCTCTGGATTACATTATCACCAATATATTCCTTCCTAAATAACATTTACTGGTAGTTGATTAAAAAAAAATCCTGTGTTTCTTTAGCTTAGGAATGCATTGTTTTTTCTGCCTGTTTTCTCTCCCTGAACTGAGGATGTTATAGACAGCTGTTCTTCTACATTCTGCATTTCAATTTTTGACCTCAGCGTTATATTTGAACTGCTATAGTTAAGCTTAATAATGAAAAGAATGTTAGAATGCTTTGGTAAGAACCTATGATTCTTTTTTATGTATGGGTGAGAGAGAGAGCACACACTTATTTTTTTTAGACTACCATTCTAAAATATATGTTAAATTTTGGAAACAAAACAGGTTTAGGCCTGAAATGGAAGACCTCTAAGAAATATCAAGGTTATAGGAAGAACTGGAAATTCAAAACATTTTGCCACTTTATGGGAAGCTGCTAGGAGTTAAGCTTGACAGACAGGAGACTTTACTTTTTTCCTAACCCTAATGTTTTCCATATAAATAAAGTTAAAATTAAAATGTATGTTTTCAAATGGTATTTGTGCAAAACTTCAGTTCTTAATATTATACCTTGCCAACTAGCCAAACTGCCAACTGCAGTTTTTTCCTTGGCTTTAATTGTTTAAGCTAAAAACTATATTCATTAGATTCCTGCTTTTCAGTTTCTGGGGCTAAAGACGTTTCAGATGTTTCTCTAGAACAGTTGAGGAAATAGTCAGCCAACAAAGTCTTTAAATTTACTGTCACACAACAAAGATACTTAGAATGCAAGAGCAACAAAATTTCTGCCTGTTTCTTGTTCTAGATAACAAAGGATGCTAGTTAGTTTTTCATGTATATCTACTTATTCTTTTAATTTAGAAAAAAACGTCTGAACCATTCCATTAAAATTGTATAGTTCAATTTAAGGACTTAAATGTTTTCAGTTCCATTCAGTATGAATAGTCAATACTTATATTCTTATACTGCGGCTTGACTTAATTTCATGGCAATTCATATCCCTGAATGTATCAGAGTAGTTATTTATTTCAACTTTATTCAGAAATTAATTGAAAAGATAATTTCATAAAATGATTTATATAAATTTATTTATGCTTAGTAGCAGGTCAGATTAGATTCCTTAAAAAGGTTTGCTCTCATCCAGTAATATTTGCATGTGCACTGCCTCTGGGTATAGTTTAAATTTGCTGTGTAGTGATTAAGTGCTTCATCAGTTTTGAAGAATGCATTGTAGTTAGATGAGAAATAGTTCAAATAATGTAAGGAGTGAACAAAGACTTAAAAACACTCAAGTATTTAAAGTATTTTTTGTTTAGTTTCTTGACTTTCCCATACTTAGAACATAGACTGTTATATCCTTGTAGAGATTGGCTCCCCACAGAGATGCAACTGGTTGCTAAGAAAAGGAAAAGATTCAAAAGCTGTAAGATCCTTTTTATATTATAGTGCAGAGGTAAGCAATGTGAAGTGTTGGATTACAACTCCCTTAAATTCCCACTAGCATGAGTTGGATCAGGGGTATGGGAACTGTATTCTAATGTAATATAAATAAACACCTGATATGTAATTTGTCTGCCTTTTATTTCATTGTAATTTGTCTAAACAATGTAATTCTAGTGCCAGGCCAAACCTGATAAATATGTTTTATTCAAAAATGTTCTTTTGAATATTATATTGGGATGTATTTTACTATTTACCTGCCTTGTATCTAAGTTGTGAGTCTTTCAGAAACAGTTCCATGATAGATCATGTCAAAGACATTTATTTATGCTCTTGAGCCTTCTACAAGTATTCAGGATTGCCCACAAAGGACAGAGATTATTTTTCTTTTTTCTAAAAATATATATGAAAAATAAGCTTTAAAAAAGCAGTTCTAAGAATCAAAAGTAGTTGATTTAACCAATGTTTCTCACCTTTGGCAACTTTAATATTCAACTTAGTCTTCAACTTCCAGAATTCTCCAGCCAGCATACTGGAGAAGCCCAAGAAACCTCCATTTACCTGTATGCTGCTTATACAAATGCTGCGTATTTTTAAAAAAACCCAGTGTTTTAAAGAATTTTAGTATTCTGTGCAAATAATTACAGGGTCCAACTTTTTCAAAATTTTTAGAGAAAAATAAATAGTGCTGACTATTTCACTATTTGGAATCTGTTCTGGAACACTAATCATTTATTCCTATATGCTTTGCAGAAAAGGAAGTGCAATCCTATTTCATTTTTATTATATTGTGATTAAGTGATATAAACAAAGGATATATTTAGCCAATATTAAATTATTGTTCATTGTAAATGTATAAAATGGGACAATGTTCACATCACATACTACACTGTTCTGCTTAAATTAAACTTCTTTCAGAAAAAAACAATGTATAGTCTTATAAAGTCTAACTTCTCAAATAGTATATAACCAATAAGAATCATTTCTAGAGGTTAATTGTTATATGTCTTCATCAGGTAGGTTCAGACAAGTTTCTTTGAAATTGAGAAATGTAATTCATGCGTTTTCTTCTCCTTTTTTACAGCTTGTCTTTTCTCTTTAGTTCAATTAGAGATATCTGATATCTTTCATTTATTATTGTATTTTAGATTTTAATTTCTATCTGATCTATCATACAGTATTTTATGCATCAATAATGTTTTGTAAATAAAAACAGTGATTATTTTTAGTGTTGACCATGTTAGGAATTATGCTTGATTTCCTAGAAAATATCTTGATTTGTGAATTAGCTCAGATATTCTGAATATCTGTAGGGATTCCTCATACCAGTATCCATGTAAGTGTTAAAACAAGTAAAATAACAGCAGCAATATCACAATTGAAGCCTCATCCTTTTTCTAGTGCTTTGATACCATATAGATGTAAAAAAGGATTGGTTGTGCTATTATGGTTTCCTTCTCCCCATAGGTAGGAAGGATGTATATGCTTGAAAGCGGTGAACACTTTTCTCACTGTTTCCTTGTACAAACAGCACCAGTAACACATGATTGCTATGATGTCATTTATATAAATATCTAAAGGAAATGTTCAGATTTAGTCTCATAAATTGAAATAATGCTGAGAATTATTGTCTCAAAATACCTCAAGATTATACAAAGCGAGCAAATTCTTAAGCATGTACAAATTGTTCATCCATCTCATATTTAATTTAGAAGTTTTTGGACATTTTAGTGGTAATATTTATGGTCAGAATTCCATTGACAGCAGTCTTCCTTCTTCTCTTCTCTTTCTATATGCTAGATTTAGAGGAAATCTGTTTCTCCTTCCCAAGTAGGTTGAAACTCAGATTTCAGTGAAAAGAATGGAAATGGCAGTTTTCAAAATAGAAACTAAAGGTGTCAAACATACTAATAGTTTTATATTGAAGATAGGATTTCAGCAGATTTATTTAACCATGCACTGTTATTTATGGAATTCAGCTACTGAGGAATCTAACAACAGGTACAATTTTGAATGAATCAAACAGTTTTTTTTTCTTTAAGGCAGGGGTGTCAAACTGGCGGCCCACAGGCCAGATGCGTCACACCCACCCTGGCTCTGTAAAGGCAAAGAATGTTGTGATATGTCATAATTATATTTGATTCAGCACGATCAACCTCAGTCTCAAAATGATACATGAAATAATTTTTTCACAAGTTTTCTGAACACCAACAGGGAAAAACATTTCATATATTTTTAAATAATATTGTTAGTTGTTAACTGATAATGTTTTGTCATACTGCTGAATTTATTTTCTAAAAAGTAAAAAAAGTATTTCTATTGATTTCTATTGGAATGAATTATTTGGAGTGGGTCTTTTTTTGTATGGGCAGCTAAGTTAAAGAAAATGTAGACTAACATATAATGCTGTGCTGTATTCAGTATTACATTGATATTTTTAAACTTAATTCAGGAATGTTCCCTTATGTAAGAGGTATTCATTTGATTTACTATGTATAAATTATTAACATGGATTTTTAATTAGTTTTTACCTAGTTTAAAAGCTGAATTCTGAGAGATTTCGCAGTGTCATTGAAGACATTTAAAGATCCATATCCATTAAGGGGGAATTTAATAAAATTTAATAAATTAATTAAAATAGATTTAATAAAAATGCAATGAGATTTAATGAGAATGCATTAGAATGGAATTCATAAGATTATAATATTTTGCTTTCACAAATGCACGCGTACAATCAGAAATAAACTGTTCAATAAAAATAGATTCATTTCATATCTGCTAATTATAATTTCTGTCCTTTAAACTAAAATTTAAGAATTTGTGGATAATATCCAAATATTCTTTAATTTTCTCTTCTGAAACTTTTTCTTGCTCATACAACTTTTTATCATAATGAATTAGTTTTAGTGGAAGTACCTAAAGTACCAGAAAAAGTAAAAGCTATGTTAAATGAACGAATATCAATGATGGAATTGTCAGAAGTGATTAAAAGACAAAAGAGCAATAAAACACCAGGACCAGATGGGCTGCCGGCAGAATTTTACAAATGTTTACAAGATACTCTAGGCCCATGATGGCGAACCTATGGCATGCATGCCCAAAGTGGCACACAAAGCCATGTCAGCCGGCACGCACGGCCTTGCCTGTTTGTCTTCCAGGTTTCCAGCATGCATGCATGTGCGACGATCAGCTATCTGCGCGGGCAGCAGTTCTGAAAACCGGCTTGGGTATGCGCGCCGGCCAGCTGACCGTGGGACACGCCTGTGCGCTATAACCCGGAAGTTCAGGTTTTCTGGAGCGCAGCCCCAATAAGCAAACGCGCATGTGACGTTTCCATGCAACCTTTTCGGCACTGACCTTTTCGTCATCACTGCTCTAGGCCCATCAATGTTGGAAGTATTGATTGATGCAAAGATACCAAATTCGTGGATGGAAGCAAATATTACTTTGATTCAGAAAGAAGATTCAGATATAATGCAGATAAAAAACTACAGGCCCATATCTTTACTGAATGCTGACTATAAAATATTGTGTTTCCCCGAAAATAAGACCCTGCCTTATATTTTTTTGAACCCCGAAATAAGTGCTTGGCCTTATTTTCAGGGAGGTCTTATTATTTTGGGGCGCGTGGAGCAAGACGGGGCTCTTCTTGCTGTCTTACCTGATTTCCAGCTCTGTCTCCCTAACCAGACTGGCTGTGCATGCGTTTAAATACTTTCGGGGAGGCCTTATTTTTGGGGAAACATGGTATATACTTCAATAATGGCAGAGAGACTAAAAAGGTTTCTAAATGAATTTATACATTCAGACCAAAATGGCTTCTTGCCTAAAAGACAGATTACAAACAATATGAGAATGATTTTAAATACATTGGAATATTATGAAGCACATCCTGGAAAATAAATGGCGTTGACTGTCTTAGATGTACAGAAAGTATTTGATAACGTAAATTAGTAATTTATGTTGTCACAAGTAAAATCTGTGGACTTTAGTGAGAGATTTATTAACATGATAAGGGCAATATACCGTAAACAAACGGCAAAGGTAAAAAGTTGAAAGGCAAAGAATTTTAATATAAAAAAAGACACAAGGATGTCCACTATCTCCTTTACTATTTATATTGACATTGGAACTGCTAAATAGAAATATTAGAAAAGGCATGGAAATAAAAAAGGAACAATATAAGCTACAGGCATTGTGGATGATTTGGTCTTTATCTTGGAAGACCCACAAGAAAATGGACTTAAACTAATTAGGAAAATAGAAGAATATGGTAAAGTTGCAGGACTGAAAATAAATAAAGAAAAAACAAAAACAATAGTTAAAAATATTAGACACAGAAAAAAACTAATGAGGAAAATAGGTATACAGATAGTCAAGAAAGTTAAATATTTAGGAATTCAACTTTAGTTTAGCATAGTCAATGAAGCAGAAGTACTTGTTTTTCTGAACTCCCTAGCTTTCTCCATGATCCATTAGTTGCATAATAATTCTGCATACTAATAATTGTCCAATAATTGTGCACATATAGATATTCTCCTAAGAAAGTCAAAACCTCACTTTTACTTTCTTAAATATTCAGATTTGAGGTTCATTAACATTTTGGATTGACCGAGAGCACTGTAGTTGTTCAATAATAAATTAATCCTACAAAATACAACTTGCCTAATTGTGCACAGTGTATGTCTCTTGCACGTCTGGCTGCTGTGTAGTTTCTATCATCATAACTACTTTGTTCTCTTAACAGTAGGCTATATCTGAGAATGTCTCGTAGTATTGGGAGTTCAGACGGCAACAAGACTCTGCCAGTCCCAATTAGGTTGCTCATATGAGTGAATGTTCCAGTCTTGTTCTTTTTTTAGAAGCCATTACAATCACTCTCACAGGAAATGAGATCAGCAGTATTAACACTGTCAAGACAAAATAACCTTTAACAAAAAGAGAAAGACAGCTGAACCTTGTGAAATGAAACAAACAAAATGTTAAAAAATTATATTTATGTAGTTACTTACCAAACACATCTAAATTATATTGAAGCAACCAAAATATCTTTACAGTCCCCAAGGCATGTCACAACTTTTGAGGACCTCTAATGTTTGGAAATTGAAAGTTGAAAAAATTGACATGCCCTAGACCTAGACTACCTCAGGGAGCTGGGAGAGGCCCTGAGAAGGCTTTGTGTAAGTGTTTCCCTGCTCAGGGTCTGAAAATTCTTTGGAGATTCTGGCAGGGAGGGTTTTCAGCTTCTGAACAGGGAAGCAGCATGATAACATAAAAACCACAGGGGGGGTTAGGACTTTTCACCTCCTACCCTTGGCTGCGCCTACTTCTCTGCCAGGCTTCCGACTCTGGGGATTCTCCTCTAGCTTTTCTCCTCAGCTGACAGGCACCCGCCCATTTGCCACGGCCAGTTGGCCAACTCCCCAGAGGCACCCTGTGACGGAATGGGACTTTTCGCCTCCTACCTTTGGTCGCACCTGCTTCTCCGCCAGGCTTCCGCCTCGGGTGATTCTCTTCTAGCTTTTCTAGCTTTCTCCCACTTTACAGCCCATTTTGCCACCATTGTTAGGTGAGTGGTTGCAGCTCGTGAATCTGGCTTCCCCATGGCAGCCTTACCTAGTAAACTACTTCCCTTTTCTGGGAATTTCTCCTCCGTGTTAGAGGCACATCTAATTATATTAAGATGATATAAGGCCCCCTGCTGGAGCAGGGGGTTGGACTGGATGACCTCCCAGGTGCCTTCCAGCCCTGGATTGCTGTGCTGTTTCAAAGCATCCACTGAAGCTGCGTCTAGTGCTAGGGTTTGTGGTCCTTCCTTCCTCTCCTTTTTCCCTCTTACGTTCCCACCCTTTTCCTTCCTTCCTTTTCCTTTCCTTTCCTTTCCTTTCCTTTCCTTTTCTTTTCTTTTCTTTTCTTTTCTTTTCTTTTCTTTTCTTTTCTTTTCTTTTCTTTTCTTTTCTTTTCGTCTCCCTTCTCTCTCTTTCTCTCTCTCTCTCTCTCTCCCCCTTCCAGTGGTGAAATGTAAAATTTGTTACTACTGGTTATGTGGGCGTGGCTTGGTGGGGGGTAATGTGACTGGGCGTGCCAACTTTTTTTTTTTAACTTTTAAAAGCAATTTTTCTACAACCTCTTCAGCCAAAGACGTTGCAGAAAAAAAATGCTCTTAAAAGCCTCTGACGATCAGGCAACTCAGCTGGGATCGTCAGAGGCTTTTAAAAGCATTTTTTCTACAACCTCTTCCAAGAGGTTGTAGAAAAAAAGTGCTTTAAAAGCCTCTGACGATCCCAGCTGAGCCGCGTGATCATCAGAGGCTTGTTTTTTTACTTTTAAAAGCATTTTTTCGGCTGAAGAGGTTGTAGAAAAAATGCTTTTAATAGTAAAAAAAAAAAAGCCTCTGATGATTGCACGGCTCAGCTGGGCATGGGGGTGGGCGCAGGGATTTTTGCTACCGATTCTCCGAACCACCCGCCGCCATCGCTACCAGATCGGGCGATCCAGTCCGAACTGGGAGCATTTCACCCCTGCTCCCTTCCCTTCCTCCTTCCCTCTCTTTTTCTAAGACTAGGATACCCACCCGAAATAAAAACTCCTTTGGATGAAGCTGGCTTCTGGCTGCCAGCATTGGCAACTGGCTGGCAGCTAACTGTCTCAGGAGGCGAAAAGCTTGGGACTAACAGTGTTGCGTCAAATGGGCCATGCCGAAGTGTGTGGGTCAGAGGGGCCATGGCTGACTGGCCATGGTGAATGGGCGGGGGGCGTGTCAGCCGAGGAGAAAAGCTAGAGGAGAATCCCCCGAGGCGGAAGCCTGGTAGAGAAGCAGGCGTGGCCAAGGGTAGGAGGCGAAAAGTCCCATTCCGTCACAGGGCACCTCAGGGGAGTTGGAAGGCCCATAACAGGCTGCAAACGAGTCTCTCCACTGAGGGGAGATTTTGGCAGGAAGGATTTTTTAGCTCCTGAATGGAGATGAACTGCACCAGACCTCCCAGGTATTTCCCCACCCACCTGAGGCAATCTTCACTCTTTATCTTAGTTTTCATTTAATGACCTGTGAGATCACTTAACCACCAGTGGGAGTGCAGAGTGCAGAGATTGTGCTTGTTGACTGAAGCAGTCACATGATATCTCAGTTAACAATGAACAATCTTCCCTTTTTAAATATGTAAATTTTAATCTGTTTTTAAATTATTGGGGTATTTTAATTTGTCTGGGCCAAAAAGTTTAATTTGATTTTATCGGGTTTTTTAAATTTTGTGTATTTATGTATTTTATTGTTGGCTGTTCACTGCCCTGAGTCCTTCGGGAGTAGGGCGGTATACAAATCAAATAAACTAAACTAAACTAAACATGATTCCAATCTGAATTTTGGTTGTAAATTGAGAATTACCAGTACGATTGTTCTGTACCCATGGGATATGCACAGATTAGACTCACACACATACCCTTGGGGGTAATCAGCTTCAGTTTTAAAATCATTGGTTTAGATAATATGCTCATGTATTAATATTTTTTTAAAAAATAGTTGGTGGAAAAATTACAACTATTGATAGGTAAATTAAAACTAAAGTTACTACGATATATATTGTTCAAACCTTCCTATACATCACCTATGGTTTAGCCTTATGAATTGATTTGCCTCTGTTTAGATGTGGGTAGATTATTTACATTTTTACCTGATTTGTTTCTGTAGGGTGTACCTCAGTTACCTTGTGCCAAAGCATTATATAACTATGAGGGAAAAGAGCCTGGAGATCTTAAATTCAACAAAGGTGACATCATCATATTACGTAGGCAAGTTGATGAAAATTGGTATCATGGAGAAGTTAATGGTATCCATGGATTTTTTCCTACCAATTTTGTCCAGATAATTAAACCATTACCTCAACCTCCACCTCAGTGCAAAGCACTTTATGACTTTGAAATTAAGGACAAGGAAGCTGACAAGGATTGTTTACCCTTTTCAAAGGTAAAAAAATTATCGTTATGTTTTCATAGTCTCAGCAATGTTGAAATACTTGTTAGCCTACAAAATTACCATGTATCAAATGTTATTATATTTTTTCATCTTTTAACTTTTTTCTGAAGAAAATCAAAGTTATATTTATTTTAAATTAAAAATATAACTTTAAATTATCTTGGAGAAATAATATTTGAACCTCATTTTCTATTTCCAAGATTAACACTCTATTGTACATATTGATAATTTGAGATAAATTAGAATTTGTGATATGTTTTTTGTGAAATATGTAAATAAATACTTATAATATGTCCTTTGCTGTGTACAGTATATTTTGTTTAGGTAAACTGTTAGTTTACTTGATAGAATTTTTTCATTGTCCAGGCATAGTTATACCAGGAGCCTTTTAGAATCAATATTGTGTTGGGCCAGATAGACTTCTGATTTATTTATTTTGTGATCCTCTAAATATAATTTAAACAAAATACTCTCAGGAGCCCCATACAGTAAAACCAATGATAAAGGATGGTGAGATATGAAAGCTAGCAATGTCTTAAAAGCCAAAATATCTTATCCCTGTTCTGTGCTTGAAGTTTTAGTAATAATGATAATGATAATAATAATAATCATAATCATAATTTTATTTCTATACCGCCCTTCTCCCGAAGGACTCAGGGCGGTGTACAGCCTATTAAAACACAAAAATATATGGATATCAATTAAAAAATAATTAAAATTATTAAATAATTTCGGCCTAAATTAAAACCTAGAAATTTAAAACACCCAATATAAAATCATTTACTTTGATAGCCCGGCCTGGCGGAACAGCAGGGTCTTGAGGGCACAGCGAAATACACGGAGGTCGGAGATCTTGCGCAATTCCGGGGGCAGTTCATTCCATAGGGCAGGAGCTCCCACAGAGAAGGCCCTCCCCCTGGGTGTTTGCCAGCCGACATACCTTGGCCGATGGCACCCTGAGGAGCCCCTCTGGAGCGGGCTGGCCGGTGGGAGGCTACTGGTAGCAGAAGTCGGTCTCGAAGATACCCGGGTCCTACGCCATGGAGCGCTTTAAAGTTGGTAACCAACACTTTGAATCGCACCCGGAAGACCACTGGGAGCCGGTGCAGCTCGCGCAGGAAAGGTGTCACATGGGCACAAGAAGTCACGCCCATAACCACCCACGCGGCCACATTCTGGACCAGTTGGAGCCTCCGAGTGCTCTTCAAGGGGAGCCCCATGTAGAGAGCATTACAATAGTCCAGCCGGGAGGTGACCAGGGCGTGAGTGACCGTGCGCAAGGCGTCCCAGTCCAGAAAGGGTCGCAACTGGCGAATCAGGCGAACCTGATAAAAAGCCCCCCTGGCCACGGCCGTCATATGCTCTTCTAAAGACAGCCGTGCATCCAGGAGGACACCCAGATTATGAGCCCTGTCTGTGGGGGGCAAAGATTCAGTTCCAATAGTTAGCGATGGCACCAGCTGACTATATCGGGACGCCGGGAGCCACAGCCACTTGGTCTTGGCAAGGTTGAGTCTGAGCCTATTTCTCCCCATCCAGACCCGCACGGCCTCCAGGCAGCAAGACATCACATCCGGGGCATCATTGGGGTGATCCGGGGTGGAGATGTACAGCTGAGTATCATCAGCGTACTGATGGACTCTCACCCTGAAACCACGGATGATCTCGCCCAGCGGCTTCACATAAATGTTGAACAGAAGGGGCGAGAGGACCGACCCTTGCGTCACTCCCCAAGCGAGGCGTCATTCCCCAAGCGAGGTGCTGCGAGGTCGACCTCTGCCCCCCTGCCAACACAAACTGCGAGCGGTCGGAGAGGAAGGAGGAGAACCACCGCAGCATGGTGCCCCCTATTCCTAACCCCCTCAACCGCTGCAGCATGATACCATGGTCGATGGTATCAAAAGCCGCTGAGAGATCTAATAGGACCAGGACAGAGGAACAACCCCTGTCCCAAGCCCTCCAGAGATCATCCACCAATGCGACCAATGCCATTTCAGTGCTGTACCCCTGCCTGAAGCCCGACTGGTACGGGTCCAGATAGGTAGCTTCATCCAGGTACCGGGGAAGCTGTCGTGCCACCACGCTCTCAACAACCTTTGCCACAAAACAAAGGTTGGAGACCGGACGATAGTTAGCTAATTCAGCCGGGTCCAGGGATGGCTTCTTGAGGAGAGGCCTCACCACTGCCTCTTTCAAGGCGGTAGCACCCTCACTCAGAGAAGCATTTATAATCCCCTGGAGCCAGCCTCGTGTGACCTCCCGGGAGGCCAGTACCAACCAGGAGGGACACGGGTCCAATAAACACGTGGCAGCACTAATCTTACCCAGAACCCTGTCCACATCCTTGGGAGCCACAGGATCAAACTCCTCCCAGATAATATTCTTTATCATGGACATTTCCTAGTTCATTAATCCCTAAGAATATTGCATGTACATACATTGAACAGTTGGTATCTAAGTGTTGTAGATACTCATAACAACAACTAAGAATATATAACATAGAATTTAGATATATTGAGATCTGTATTCTAATGCTGAAAAAAAAGCAGTTGAGTTGCTGTTTCTCAGCAATTATTTCATTTGATGATTGGTTAGTTCTTGGAATGCTTTTCAAGTTCTTAATAATAGGAATATACTATTGAAAGAAATTTTCATCTGAGAATATGCAAGTTGACTTTTTAAAAATCTCAATAGTCTGAATGCCAGGGGGGGAAAAATGTTTAATTAGAACTTGAAAACTTTCCTACCTTTTATTTTCTTCTTTTACATCCAGGATGATATTCTTACTGTGATTCGCCGAGTAGATGAAAATTGGGCTGAAGGAATGTTGGCTGACAGGATTGGAATATTTCCTATTTCATATGTTGAGGTGAAAGAATCTTAAGTTTCTTTAATGTTGAATTAATGTGAATACACACACAAACACGCTTTATCCTAAAATTCTTTTACTTTGGACTGCTGAATAGATGAATAGAAAAATGTTAGATGTTAACCAAACAACACATTTTTTAGCAAATTGAATTATTTATTATTATTTATTTAGCGCATGATGAGAATATGACAGAAGAGAAGTAAACATATATATGCAATCCATATAATTATGTACAAAACTTCTACAGGAATATGGCAGTGGACTCATAACTGGATGTCTAATTCAGCTATCCAGGTGATCAACTTTGACATTGCTTCATGCAGTTCTTTTAGGGAACCAGAGAACGCATGTTGTGAGCAATCTTTCACAATATATTTAATAGTTAAGGAGAATCCTTCCATCCTCTTTCCATCCATACAGGGCAGAGGCACTTCTTCCAGTATCACATCTAATTCTGTTCAATTTTGTTCAGACTGAGTGAGGCAGGTCAAAACCAGATAGCATTCTTTCCAGAGCCTCATCTTTTTTTTTATTGTGGTCACCAAAACTTGCAGTATTCCAGGTGTCGTCTTACCAAGGCCTTATAAAGCTATGTTGGAGAAGGAGGGCAGGCCACTTGTATTTGGGCTTTATGGCTGTCTCCCGGAAGAGGTCACCATTTTCAGCATGCCCACATTTCCTCGCATCACACTGAAATGGCAGCTGCTTCCGGGAGGATGTCATATGACCTAGAGATGAACCACTCTATTTTGCTTCCCTAAAGTTGTCTGCACAGCACTGAGGAAAGCTCTGGAGATCTTCAAAAAGTAACTGCGCAATGGGTGAGTGGTTGGGGAGGAAACCCAAGCACTACGGGTATCCCAAGGAGCAGGAAGTGGAGAATGGGGATGGCGGGATGGCAGAGGCCTTGGGAGTCACAGGGCAGGAAAGCCTAGGCCTCCCACATCTTTTCCCACCTCTGAAGAATCCTGTGCTTTGTTTAATGACCCACATATTCATTGAACACCTTCAGGGAGAACAGGGTAGAAGTCATAAAACAAGGCCATCTCGCTTAAAGGCCATTACCACTTGCAACCATAATGGGCAGGCTTCATTATGATTATAGGTTGATTACTAAAGTTCATATGAGTTGATTATGTATTAAAAGTAAACAGCATCTTGCTGAAGAAACAGATCAAACCTAGGCTCTATCAATGAACTGCCCTAGGTATTATCACTGAACTGCCCTTAGCTTCTCGTCAAGAAATCAAATCTCAGTCATCTGTATGACATATATGCTCACCTCTTTATCAGGAAATAATAAAATACTGTAAAATTGATTATTAGTAACATTTGAATATTAACAAATATGCACAGTAATTTTCAGTATTCAGAATATTTTAAACTTTTAATCACATGTCATAATAAATACTGAATACTTATGAAATTGGCTAAAATTCTTAGGAAACGAGTTGTTTAGAATTATATTCAGTTCTAACATATATAATCTGGCCAGTATTATCCCTGCTATAAGGAATAGTTCATATTAGTGCTCTTTAAATGAGGCTTATTGTTTTAGCCTTAGTTCAAATTATAGTACTCACACCCTTAGCAAAATTTCCAACCAAATTATGGGTTAAAAAAGCTTACCTTTATCTTTTTGTGCAGTAGTTTGCCCAGTCACAAATGAAAACAAAATGAGACATTATTGCTCTGTGCAGTTCTGGTTTTTCAGAGGTTTGATTTTAATAGTTATTGCTGAAATGAAAACTGCTATAGCAGATGCACTTTCAAGGAAGAAAATTGGGATATTATAGGGGACTAATGCAGTTTATTATCCAATCTTACACTGAGCACAGCATTATAATAATTTCTACCCTGTTTTCCTGAAAATAAGACCTATCCCGAAAATAAGACCTAGCATTTTTTTTAACGTTTGTGCATAATATGAGCTCCACCTCCAAAATAAGCCCTACTTAAGAGCCTGCGCAACTGGCCGGCCGCCCATTCCATCTGGTTGCTTGCAGTGTTGTGGCCACAAGGCCGGGGGGGGGGTGTAGAGCTGCCTCAAGTACCTTGCACTGGCTTACCTCAGGCCATCCATGCCCCAACACCTGCCGCATGGCGGCAGCACCCACAGCCATGTGCAGCAGGAGCCCACTTGGCCGCAGGCCCACTTCTGCTTACTCACAGCTGCAACGGAGCAGGAGGCTGAGTAGTATGCTGGTGTTGGTGCCACAACTGCGAGGTGAGGAATGTGTCGGGGTGTGGTTGGCCTGGCTGCGGGGGTCCTAAGGTAAGCCAGTGCATGGCGTGTAGAGCAGTCCACCCGCGCCTCACCTCGTGGTCACGGCACCAGTGTGTTGCTCAGCCTCCTGCTTTGTTGTGGCCACAAGCAAGCAGAAGAAGTGGGCCAGTGGCCATGCAGGGTCTTGCTCGATGGGGCTGCTCGAGCCTCCTCTGCAAGGCGAGGCAGGTGTTGGGGCATGGGTGGCCTGGCTGCAGGGGCCCTGAGGTAAGCTGGTGAAGGACGCGTGAGGCAGCTAGACACCCCTGCCTTGTGGCAACAGCACTAGCGCACCATGCGGCTTCCTGCCCCACCCCCCCGCGAGCAAGCACAAGAAGTGGGCCTCCTGTACATGGGGGAAAAAATAAGACATCCCTGAAAATAAGCCCTAGTGCTTATTTTGGGGCCCGAAAGAAAATAAAACCCGGTCTTATTTTTGGGGAAACGGGTAAATATAGTTTAGATTGTGATTAAATGTGATTATACAGTACTGGAAAGAAAAAAAATTTAATAAAAAGGAAAGCTTGTTAGGTAGTCAGTGTGAATAGGCAAGTTTTATAAAATCAAGCTTGAAAAATAGACAGAAAATATTATGCCCAATGTAACCTTACATTTTAATTTATAAATGCTGCTTGTGCATTTTATTGTTTAAGAAATTTTCAATACATAAATTATATAATATATTAAGTAATGACGAAGGATTGTAAATTTATGCAAACTCGTATTAGGAATTTGTCTTCGGTGCATAAGCTCTCAATGTACATAAAAGATATAAGTGATAAATCATGATCATAGTAATCATAAATAAATTCATGAATCATAAGATACAACACTTAGTGATAGTCATAGGATATTAAATAAGCAATCAAAATCATACTAGGAAACTATAATACAATATAAATCGTAAAGATACAAGCAACAAGTTTATAGTGGCTCAGTTGCTAAGACGCTAAGCTTGTCGATCGAAAGGTCAGCAGTTCAGCGGTTCGAATCCCTAGTGCCGCATAACGGGGTGAGCTCCTGTTACTTGTCCCAGCTTCTGCCAACCTAGCAGTTTATAAGCATGTAAAAAATGCAAGTAGAAAAATAGGGACCACTTTTGGTGGAAAGGTAACAGCGTTCTGTGCGCCTTTGGTGTTTAGTCATGCCGGCCACGGAGACATCTTTGGACAGTGCTAGTTCTTCGGCTTTGAAATGGAGATGAGCACTGCCCCCTATAGTCGGGAACGACTAGCACATATGTGTGAGGAGAACCTTTACCGTTATCTTTTAGAAAGGAGATAATAGAAAGGATGAGAAAAATAATAGTAATACAGTCCTAGTAAATAGTTTGACAGTGTTGTGGGAATTAGTTGTTTAGCAGAGTGAAGGCATGCAAAAAAAAAAATTGTCCTTGTGTCTAGTTGTTCGGGTGTGCAATGCTCTATAATGTCATTTTGAGGGTAGAAGTTGAAACAATTTATGTCCAGAGTGTGAGAGGTCTGTAGATATTTTCACACCCACTTTTTGACTCCTGCAGTATACAGGTCCTCAATGGAAGGCAGATTGGTAACAATTGTTTTTTCTGCAGTTTTAATTATCCGTTGAAGTCTGTGTCTGTCTTGTTTGGTTGCAGAGCCAAACCAGTCAGTTATAGAGGTGCAGATGATAGACTCAATGATTCCCCTGTAGAACTGTATCAACAGCTCCTTGGGCAGTTTGAACTTCCTGAGTTGGCACAGAAAGAACATTCTTTATTGTGCTTTTTTGATGACGTTTTTGATGTTAGGTGTCCATTTTAAGTCTTGAGATATGATAGAACCTAGAAACTTGAAGGTCTCTACTGTTGATACTGTGTTGTCTAATATTGTAAGAGGTGGTAGTATAGGAGGGTTTCACCTAAAATCTACCATCTTCTCCCACTGGGATGCGGAGTGGGTCAGAAGTGGGATGATCCAGCTCGTCTGGCCAATCACTGAGTCGGATAAACTTGGCCACGCCTACTCAGGCCTCCCTTCCTTCCAGTTTATTCGACTCAGTGGTTCTGACCAGTCGCATTCGCTGAGTCTCTCACTTCTGCAGATTTTGGAGATCGTGTGTGTGTTGGGGGCTTCAATTAAACGCAAACGACTGCCTCCGTTGCCTCTCGATCATCAGAGGGACGTGAGTGTGAAATTTCCCTTCCGCCCCCATTCTTCTTAGCGCTGTGCGTGCGGGCCATTTCAGTCCTCCTCGGCTGGAAACGCCGCCGCCGCGCTCCTCTGACAGCCGCCGACTTCAGCGCCCATCAGCTGAGGGGCGCGAAGATCGCGACGCTTCGGGGACCGGCACCTGGGTTTCCTCTTCGCCGCCCCGTTCCGCTGTCAGTCTCCGCCTCAGCGTCGATCAGCTGGAGGTCGGAGAAGCCGCAGAAGCCGCTGCCTGCCCAAAGGCTTCGTTCCGGCTTGTTGCTGCCGCCGCTCTTCCCAGCGATCGGGGAAGACGGCGTTTTGAACTGCGCTGTTCTTGCCTTGGCGTGGGGGGTGTCTGACACTTCCCCGCCAAATTTCCGTGCCGCCATCTTTGCAGCCGTTAATTAGCCGCCATTTCCGCGCGCTTCTTTCATCGGCTGCTGGGACCTGCCTGATCTCCTTCCTTGGTGAGCTTTGCACTTGCCCCATATAAAAAAAAAAAAAAAAAAAAAAAAAAAAAAAAAAGAAAAGAAAATTTCCTTGGTGGTTGGATTGCAGCGAACTTCCTAATTTATCCTTGG